CATGTTGTTGATGTTCCTTCCTCCTGTTTTCACTCCTCCTGTTTCTGTGTCCAAGCCTGCTTTTCTTATAATATGTTCTACTACAGTTTGAAAAGATAGGGTGAAAGGAGGCAGCCTTGCCTGACCCCTTTGCAGTGTTAATTCTCCGAAAGCCATGATGTTCCACAGATGGATTAATCATTGTTGGGTAGGGTGTGCTCACTTTTTAAATAAAAGGAATAATCTAACTAATGCAACTTCCTTATTAGGAAAAGGAGGTGATTGCCCTTTGCCTGCAATTAAGTAACACGATTGATTTGGGTAGGTGGATTTAAACCTAGCCATGAGTAAATAGAAAAGGTGGCTTAGAAATTCCCTGTTCTAACTGCACATTGAACTTCTGACCCTTCAACCTGTAGTAATAATGTCAGCGATTGCTCCAGAAAGAATTCTGAATTCACGTTGAAGACTGATTCTAATGTCTTTCTAGTCTTTTTGAAAGTGTGCCATAATGATTAGGAAATGAGCGCTAAAGGGGGGAAAAAAGAAATTCTCATGTTACACCTCATCTCTGCCATGAAATGTTTGTGGCTCTTGGGGCCAATCTCTCTCTACAGCACACAGTTTGTGATGTGAGAATAAGAGCACTAACCTACCTTCCAGATGTGTTGTGCAGATCACTCACAAAATGCTAGCCGGAAATCTCAACATGTAATATATGAATGAATGAATGAATGAATGTGTCATCACTATTCATTATTTATTGCCAAAATTAATTATCATACTGTTTTGTCTTTGGTGATTTGGGGAGATGGAGCAGCTACAGTGTTAATTTTAATGTGACACAGATATTCAACATGTGATTTGTTTGTTTGTTTATTGGATTTATACCTCCCTTTTCTTCCCAAATGGAATTCATCAGCATAAGTACTTCAGCAAATTCAGTTCTGTAACTTTGGGTAGGTTAGTTTCATGCCTGTTTTTACATTTGAAAGAGCCCTCCAGCTCTTGTATCCATACATGATAATGGGGAACACAATTGTCTTGTTTCCCAGCTGCTTCAGTCAGCATGGCAGTGGATCGCCATCATACCATTTTGGAATCTCACTTGTCCACAGCTTCATCTTCCATGAAAACTGGAATCTTGAATTCTCATAGTGGTGTTATTTTCTGTTTTGTTTTGTTTTGTTTTTTGTAATGCAGTCTCCAATATTGTACTTGATATTCTTTGTCTAACTCTGCCAGGATCAAGCTATATACCGTAAATGAACTTTACATTGCATATACATGACATTTACAGCACATAATAGTTTAGTCTCTTGGCTATAATGGCTGAGTATAATGGGAATCATAATACATCTGGAGGGCACAAAGTTGAGGAAGAGACTTTGTTCATAATGTGAGGAAAATCCTTTTTAAAATGCTTCTCAGTTCATATCTGAATTAAATCTCATTAGATATCATTAGTTTTCTTTAATCTCTTTTCTCCCTTTTTTGTGCTAACAGCTTAATGCCAAATGCACTCAAATTACTACAGTATAAAGCATTTTTTTTCCGCTGCAACCCATGGAATAATTTGTTACGCTTTACAATTGGGAGATTTCAAAGTGAGCTAATATGTGCTGGAGTGGTTGAATTTCTGCAGATCTCTGACTGTGTGGCATTGTATAGTTCCAAATCTGGCTTTTAGCCCCTTATTACCAAATGGAAATTACTCTTCTTCCTTTACGTTTCCATAGGAACAAACAGCATCACTGTTACTAGTCTAATCTATGAAAATAGAAAAAAATATTAATATCTAGCCAATACGAAAAATATGTATGTATTTTTAGTATGCAAAGGGATCTTGCAATACTTTTGAGACTAACTGTGTGAAAGACGTTGGAGCATGAGCATTTATAGACTTGGTCTACCTCTTCAAATGCATCCACAGAGAGATGGGAAACAGGATAATTCTCTGCTGCCCCAGAGGGTAACACCCGATCTAATGTTTTCAAGTTATAGAGGGGTAGATTTCAGTTGAAATTAGGAGGAACTTTGACAGTAAGAGCAATGGAACCAATTATCTGGAGAGGTTGTGGGGTCTCTTGTTGTTGTTTTTGGCTAGCTGCCCTTGGATCAACCTTGACTCCTGGCAACCTTGCGGATGAGACATCTCCAAGACCCCCTGTCCTCAACTTTTCTATCAGGGCCTGCAGGCTCAGCCTCCTGACTGAGTCAATCCACCTAGCATGCAGTCCTCCTCTCTTTATGCTGCCTTCCACCTTTCCTAGCATCATTGTTTTTGCTAATGATTCATTTTTCCTTATGATGTGGCCAAAGTACAGCAGCCTCAATTTAGTCATATACTGCATATATAATAATAATAATAATAATAAATTTTTATTTGTAGCCCGCCCCTCTGCTAGGCAATCGGGGCGGGGGACAGCAATAGTTAAAACAGAACAGCATCATGTGTGAGTCTAGAAATTTTAGTAAAAAAACTGACACCCCCCCCCACAAAAAAAACTGGATCAACTTATCAATGTACTGTACTTTAACTCTTATAAAAAAAGGGAACATCCCCTGGTAAAAGGCAACAGTCCTGAAAGCACCGATCCTGCTCTATTCTCTCATCCATCCAGCCTTTAGTGTGAGCATAAACAGTTATGGCTTTAGCATTGTTTTCCTTTGCTTCATCCTTTAGATCCTTTA